GAGGGAAAAGAATCAGAAAAATTTAGCTTCAGTACAAGATGCGTTTGAATGAAGTGTGCAAAATATTGTGAGAGAGGCGAAAGGTTTTTTTGAGGCCATTAGAATGTGCAACTGTTTACAAGCAGTTTTTTAAGCTTTCTGTATGCAGTCACGTTATTTGGAAACTTCTACTAAAGCAGGACAGGAAATATAATGCCTGATATGGCCAGAGATGCAGTTAACATTGACCACATCAGAATTGTTGATGGAAAACCTTTGAATGGATGGACAAAAGGGTATTTTAAAAAAAGAAATCCTGTGCAGTGCAAAGGCTGCTATCATATCAAAACATGTGAGCATCTCTATAACAGATTCACTAGTTGAATAGTGTGTATTGGTATCTTTGTGTTTTTTTGGAATATGTTAAGTCTATGTGCTCCAACAAATACCTTTTCAGCAGGGAATACTGATATAAATACTCTTTGGAAAGCATTTCATATGTGATTAATTCCGTTGCGCACAGGACTCTAGAATAGCCTGCAGTCTACCAAGTGGTTATCATCATGCCTCGGAAGTCAGTGGGAGTTCAGCAAAAAGCCTGGCTCCTGGCCACAGGGCTCGATGACTGTTTGATCTTGGGCCTGAGAGAAAGAAATGGTCACAGCTCATCTTAGATGAAGGAACTGGCATGATTTCAGTGCTGCCTGAATATCCTTTTCTGCGACCCTTCCTTCCCGTTGTCACAGCTATTTGAATTATAAGAGTGCTGCCACAATGATTAATTATAGCCATTTTGTACACTGCCGTGACCATGTAGAGTCATACAACACAGGAACCTGATTTTGTGCACATGGAAGGAAGAACTCAGTTGTTTACCATTTTTAGCAAATTTCTAACATCAAATATATGTAAATGTACTTGGGTTTGCTTCAAATCATAAATCTACCCACCTGTGTGCTGATTGAGGCATGGCACACCAATTAATATTTGCATTTTGTGCAGGTAAGCTTTCGAAAAGCTATGTTTCATAAATAGGAATGGACCATACTTTCAGTGTTAAAATAACAGTGGCTTACCTTGAACCTTATATAAAGTAGCTTGGCTTGGGGCTATTTTGTACATCTGTGCAATTTGTTTAAGGGTGTGAACAAGATAGGTTTGGGCAACTGAAGTCAACGTGGCTTTCAGACGCACTTGCACTCTGCCTCCCTCGTGAGCACTTGAGAAGCTCCTCTTGTGTTTAAAACCAGCAAAACTAAATTGGCATAAAAATTTACAGCACAGAATTGGCTGCAGATTATTGCTCAATAAACCTTTAGTAATGGCATCAGTCGTTAAAGTTCTCGTGTGAATGTGATTGCTTATCAAGGTCGTTGAAAGTTAGAAGCTGTGTGCTGATAGCTGCAATTGGCAGAAGAAAATGACTGCAAATACAATTACTGTGCATGAACTGGCAGCACTGGCCCAGAGTTTGCTGTACTGTGTCCTATTCAGATTTTTTATTTTCCCCTCAATCTACAACTTAATCTTTTTGCACCACACATTGCCTGATGCACAACCTGATAATGCTGGAGAGAGTCAATGCAGCATCAGGGACCTTGATCAGCAAGTTGTTCAATGTAAACTGCAATATGATGAATTAGGGCCACAATAGGATAGAAAGATCAGTTTGGGAGAGGGGAAAAGCAAGAACAGTTTATTTTTTTTCAAACAAAAGCAACCTCCAGGGACAATTTACAAACTGCAGGAATGAGATTCGACAGCTTCAATTTATAGAAAATTTATGACACATCAGTCTGTCTTGTCTACGCCACTCACATATCCCACCTTCCTGCATTAGGTCAATGGTTCTGCAGATTCCTGGCTCTTAAAGTAGACAATCGAGTACTCTTTAAATGTGGTGAGAGTTTCTACCTCTGTCACCCTTTCAAATGATGAGTTCCAACTCCCAGCCATCTTCTGGTGAAAAGATGTTTCGTCCTCTCTCTCTAATCCCACCGAACAAATTAAATCTGTGTCCCCTGCTTTTTAATCCCATTTGCTAAGGTCTCCTGCATATGCTGTATCGAGGCCCCTCATAATTTTGTACACCTCTGAATGTTAGTTGCCTCTGTTCTAAAGAAAGGAAACCTAACGTATCTAATCGTTACTCAGCTAAAATTTTCTAGTCTTGCTAACATCCTTGTTAATCCCCTCTGTACCATCTCCAGTGCAGTCATGTCTTTTCTATAATGACCAATCACACTGACAAGAGTTGAGCTGTGGACTAACGGTGCTTTCTAGAGTTCTAGTATAGTATCTCTGTTCTTGTATTCTGCTTCAGGCAATAAAACAAAGCATGCTATATGCCTTCTTTTAAGCATCTTCTAACTTGAGCTGTACCTTTTTAGGGATCTGTGGACATATACTCCAAACTAGCCATCCATTTATTGTGCATCTTCTGCCTTGTTGCACCTCTCACAATGCATTACTTCACACTTCTGTGAATTCAATTTCATTTTCTGTTCTCTGGCCCAGTTGACCAGACCATCTCTATATTGTGCTACAGTTTAAAACATTCCTTCTCGCAGTCAATCAGGGTGACCTATTTTTGTGTTATCTACAGTTGTTTTTTGTTATGGCACCCTCCATAACATAGGTCTAATCACTCATATAAACTACAAAGGCCAAAAATGCAAAGGCCAAGTACTGAGCCCTGCAAGACTTCATTGATTTTAAAAAGCTAATCAGAGAAACACCAGACTCCCATTATCCTTTATTTCCTGCCACTGATGTTGGATCTAGTTTGTCACTGTCCTTTTGAATACAAAGGCTTTACTATTTTGATAAGCCTGCCAGGTGAGATCTTATTGAAAACCTTGCTAAAACCCCTGTGGACTATATCCAGCGCATTGCCCTCGGCGACACCCTACTTGAGGTCTCCTCAAAATCTTGGAAGTTAGTCCAAGACTACATTTCCTTCACACGTTCCTGTTGATTTTTCTTGAATAGTCCATGCCCTGATTGATCCATGCTTTTCTAAATAAACATATATACAGTCCCTCTGAATTTGTCAATCATTTACTAAAGTTAAGCTAACTGGCCTCTAGTTACTCCAATTTTCACTCCTTTTGTGAATCAGATTGTCAGATCCCAGAGTATAGGCACCAGTCTTCTGCACAGGAAGGATGAAATATGGTGGTCATAGGTGCTGCATCTTGCCGCCTTGCTTCTTTTAACAACCTGAGTTATATTTCATCCAGGGTTGGCGATCTGTCTCCTTTTGTAAGTGCTAAACATTTTAATGCTCCTTCTCTCACAATGTTTCTCCTATCCAATATTTCACACTGTTCCTTCTCAACTGCAGTGTCATTATAGGCCCCTGACTTGTGGACGGAATGGCGAAGTCTTCATTAAGAACCATATCCACAAGGCTGTCTTCACACGCACTGTCACCTTTTCGATTGGGAGATAGTAAGAATTGCAGATGCTGGAGTCAAGAGATAACAGTGTGGAGCTGGAGGAACACAGCAGGCCAGGCATTTCTGAAGAAGGGTCCTGACCCGACCCGAAACATCAACTTTCCTATTCCTCTGAGGCTACCTGGCCTGCTGTGTTCCTCCAGCTCCACACCTTTTTGATTGACTCTTTTCTTAGTTATTCTGTTCCTCCTAATGCACTTACAAACATCTTTAGATTTTAGTATCTATTCATTCCCTCTCTTTGCTTTCCTAATTTCCCTTTCACGTTACCCCCTGTATTTTTGCGTCACTTCTAGACTCAGACTCATACAGCACAGAAATAGACCCTTTAGTCCAACTTGTCCATGTTGACCAAGTTTCCCAAGCTAAACTAGTCCCACTTGCTGGAGTTTGGCCCATATTTCCTGTTCATGTGCATGTACAAATGTCTTTTAAATGTGTAACTGTACCTGGATCAACAACTTCCTCTGGCAATTCATTCCCATACCAACCATCCTCTGTGTGAAAAAGTTGCCTGTCAGGTGCCTTTTAATTTTTTCTCTCCTCGTATTAATATACCATCTAGTTTTGAACTTTCCTACTCTAGGGAAAAGACCTTTGCTGTTCATCTTATCAATGCTCATTATCATTTTCGAAACCTCTAGGTCACCCCTCTACCTCCTACACTCCAGCCTCTCCTTATGATCAAACCTTCCGGTCCCGGTAAATACTTTCTGAACCCTCTCCAATTTAAGAATATCTTTCCAGCTCTTTGTGTTTCATACAAGCTTCCCTTCTGTATCTTACGATGCCCTCTATCATGTCACTTAAAGGTCTCTAGACTCAACGGCCCTATCTGTTTCTTAGAAAAAATTGCTTACCTCAACTCTGAATTTTTTTCTTCCCTTTGCTCCAGCCCCAATTTACCTTGAAATGAATGTTTCCAATACAATTTTAAGTTGTTTCGCAGCCTAATCAAGTTGGCCTTCACTCCATTTAGAAACCTTACTCATAATTTATCTTTGTTCTTTTCCATAATTGTGCTAAATATAACTAAATTACACTGACTACGACAAAAGTGGTCCCTCACTGATATTTCTTTCACCTGCTCAGCTCTATTGCCTGAAACTAAATCTTCCACCAGCCCCCACCCTACCTTCATCCCCAGTATCTTGTTCATCTTGTCACATAATGACTTTTTTAAGAAAAAAACACGTTATCGTGAATGTAGTCAGTAATTATGCGCCCTCTGTATCTTTTAAACTCACTGCATCTCAGTTATTAGGGTGATTGAATTCCCCCACTATTACTCTTCTGTTCTTTTTGCATTTGTCAGGAATTTCCTTACAGATTTGATCTTCTATCTTCATTGCTTTTTGCGATTAGGCAAAAAGGTGTGAATGTGTCCCTGCCTTGTAAGTTGTGAACAAAGATTTGCATTGTTTTTAGTGTGAGGCCGTACTCTTCCAATTAAAATGTTAACTAATTTCCACTTGATCAGATAGGAACCAATTATAAGGTTGAGTGAAAGGAAGCGATTTTATTATCTGATATTGCTGGGAGGAAGGTGCAATGTCAAGTATGTATGTGATGATGCAAGTGGAAAGTTACAAAGATTTTGTGTCCAGTACAGAGCCAGGTGAAAGGAACATACAATTTAAAGTCCGTGGGATGTCATCGAGCTGTAAGATTTTAATCTGAGACCGCAGTTGTTTTCTTGAACTATCGGCAATAGCAAATATTTCAGTTGTTCTGTGTTCTGATGTGATTTGTCTTATCACGTCTCTTTTCCTACTTGAGATGCAGAACTTTTTGCACCTTCAGTTCTACAGTCCCAAATTAATCTCTTTTCTGCCACAAGCAGCTCCTTGAAATATAAGCTTGTTTTATTAATTCAATTCTGCAAGTTGATTTTTTTGATTTGCAGTTTGTAAATGATGTTCCATATCCAGTGTGCGACAGTTCCCATAAAGTTGTTAATCAAAAAAGATGATTTTCACACCTTACTTGAGGTCATTAGTTTTGGTGCCTTTTGATTAAAATACTGATTTCATTTCAGACTGGCTTTGTTTGTTCCTTTTCTGGTAAAGAGTTATACTACAATTGAAAGATTAACTCTGCTTCTCTCTCCACAGATGCCGCTAGACATGCTGAGTTCCTCCAGCAATTTCTGTTGCTATTTCAGATCTCCAGCATCTGCACTACTTTGCTTTTATTTGTTCGTTCCACATTAGTTTTGTGAAACTTGTCTGTTGTGTGGTCAGGTAATTGCTGTAACCAATTTCAGTGTTTTTGTTTCTTTCTTTTTAAAACCATTTCAGTCTGTGAAAATCTCAAGGATTAAAATCAAACTATGAAATTCTGAAATCAACAGTCCATATTTTATCAGCATTGAGAGAATCAAACCGTTTGGAGGTCTGTAGTATGCACCCAGCAGTGCCACTTCCCCTTCTGTTTGTTCCTTGGTTTAAATGTCTAAGCTCATTTGATCTCTGTAACGTACCACCCTTTGTCACAGCTGTAATTGTTTCTTTAATCAATATTGTCATCCCATCTCTATCTTTACCCCACTGTGTCTTTTGTCTGAAAATGCTGTAACTAAGAGTGTTAAGTTGCATTATTGTCCCTTTTCTAAATGATCTTTCTGATAAAGCTTAAAAAAATTATACTTCACTTGCGGAACTGGAACCAGCCCTCTGCTCTTCTGCTTTGACTCTTTGCATTTAGGTAAGTACTAAAAGCCCAACCCTTTTGGGCTCCTTTTTGTCTATTTTCCAATACTTGTTTGCTCAGCTTTCCAAACCCACTTCTGTAGTTTTTGATACCTGCCCTTTCTAGCTGTGCTTTCTGCCCTTCTACATCTGTGGCCCTGCTGAGGTGCAACCTCCAGCCTGATTGATTTTTTTTCAATTTTTTGTTTCCACCTTCACCAGAACTGGTCCTAATGCCTGAAGAATCAAAAGCCTTCACTGCTGCACATTCTCCAGCTACAGCCACATGGTCCTCCTGAACTATTAGCCTATACTTCTTTTGAATGACTGACTGACTGACAGACAATCACCCAGACCCTTTGTGCCTACAAACTTCACACTATGGGGTGATCGCACCCAAAATGTGCTATTCACTAAACATTCATCCTTCCGGATGGACCCCAGTGATGTCAGCTGTTGTTCAAGTTCCAGAGTCCAAACTCCAGCTCCTCCAGTTGGCAATACTTCCAAACCCTGTGGTTAATCAGGTCTACTTCTGACAGGGGGTGCACTGCACTGGTCTGAGGTACCCTGCCACTCTTTTTATGTTAACTGACATAATGGATATAATCAAAGTGGTTTATTTATTAGTTAACTAACTGTATTCCTGAAGTAGAGTTGCTTGTTCAGTTAACTAATTATAGTCTTCATTCAGTTAGGTGGCCTAAACAAAAGCTGCAGATGATGTGAAACTTGTCAAGATTGCAAAATCATTAGGACTTTGGTGGTAATCCATTCATGATGACCACATATCCAGTGTAATGGACAGAAGTTTAGCTTGAGTCACTCTGCTTTTAGCTGTGGTAAAATACAAGTGCAGGTCTGATACAGAGAAGGATTTCTTTGCAATGAGTAATACTTTAAACAACCTCCTTGAAAGAAAGATGGGGCCAAATTTAAAGGTACCAGACACTGCTGATCATAGGTTTTAAGGAAGAATGAGCTGAATGGCCTGTCATTCTGTCTGTATACCCTGCGTCTAATGAGTTTCTAATAGTTATTCACAAATATAAGGGAGCTCATTAGGTGTGCCAACAATTTGATGTGAGTTAGGAACGTTGCATATAATGACATGATATGAAGGCATTCACTTTACTATTTTACATTTGAGGCGAAAGTATGTTTTAATTCCAATATGCTAAGTGTTGACCTGAGCGTAACGTTCAGCAGACCTGTAAGGGTTAAAGCTGGCAAAAATCACTCCATTATGGAACAATTGATGGAATGGGAAATGTTCACTTAGCTTCCCCTCTCTGCCTTTCTATCCTATTGTAGTGGGGTGTTCCCAACATTATGTAATTGTGACACCGTGCCAATAAGTGCTGCTGCTTAATGTTTGCCAAACAGTTTCAGGGATACAGTATTCTGCACAGCTGTTTTTTGCTTTGATGAGTTCAACTATCTAAACAGTTACTTTTCTCCCCCCTCCATTCCTATTCAGTATTAATAGGTTTTGTGCCATTATTCTGCAATTAATATTAAGTGTCCATGCATCAACTGAGTAACCAAAGCATATGAATGCACGTGTGTTTAACACAAATTGTAGCAAATGCTATAGTCTGCATGTTATCTTCTACAGTAGGCTGAAACAGAATACCATGTATTTTAGGATCAAAGTCCTGCAGATGCTGGAATCTTTAATGAAAACAAACGCTGGAGATCACAGCAGGTCAGGCAGCATCCACGGAGAGAGAGCAAGCTAATGTTTCGAGGCTAGGTGACTCTTCATCAGATTGTGTATTTTAGGACTGAGGCTGACGGATGGCTTCAAGCAACATTTTTTAATTTATTCATGGGATATGGATATGTTAGCTAGGACAGCAACGTTCGCTCACCCATAATTGCCTTTGAAAATGCGGTGGTGAGCTGCTACCTTGAAATGCTGCAGCTCATCTGGTAGAGGTGCACCCACAGTTCCATTAGGAAACGCATTTTAGGCTTTCGGCACAGTGAGAGTAAAGAGCAGCAATATAAAGTTTCAATTCAAGATCATGTGTGGCTTGGACAGCAGCTTGCATGTGGTGATGTTTCCGTACGACTGCTGCCCTTGTCCTTTTAAATAGGAGAGATCATGCGTTTGGAGGATGCTACTGTTGCAGTCTTCGTGAGTTGTTGCGGTGCATCCTGTAGATGGCACACAGTAGCCAATGTGTGCTTTGGTGGAGGGAGTGAATAATGAAGAAAGGCTTCTTTATCCTGAATGATGTTGAGCTTGTGAGGTACAGTCATGTGATCAAGTAAAGTATTTCGCCACAGTCCTGACTTGTGATCTACATATGGTGGACAGAGCCTGGGGAGTCAGGATGTGAGTTATATGCTATAGAATTCCCAGTTCCTGACACACTCTTGCATCCATAGTATTTATGTGACTAGTTCAATTTCTTGTCAATAGCAACCTCCTCAATGTTTCAGATTCAGCTGTTATATAGCCTTTGCATGTAAAGGAGGGATAGGTCAATTCTGTCTCATTAGAAACAGATTATATGTGGCATGCTTGTTGCTTATTAGCCCAAGCCTGAATGTTCGTGTCTTGTGCATATGAGTGTGTACTGTATCAGTATGTGAAGGTCTGTAAATGATACTGAATATTGTGTAGACTGTGTTTGACTTTCATCTTGTGGTATGAGAATAGGGATGCCTGGGCTCCTCTATAATGGTGGAGTTTCATGACCGAGTGACTACAGGTGATCGATTTGTATGACTGTGCCTGTGCTTATGAATGCTTTTTCAGGTTATACTAACATGGAATACAATTTACTTTACAAGTTCTATTTGAAATGTTCTCCCTTTATCCCAATTCTCATTTCTTTTCCTTCATTTTCCTCCCAGTGATGTGTACCTTTTAAAGCCAGTACCATTTACAAGGGATTGAAATGTGTAAATGTCACCAAAAAGAAGTGAGAATTATCCCAGCACAGGAGGAAGCAGCTTCGCCCATTGTGTGTCAGCCATTTGAACGAGCTTTTCATTGTTGTTTTAAAAGAGAACACATCTTTCAGGCAGCAAATTTCAGGTCGTAGAAGCCCTTTTTTTTTAAAGTCATGATAAGGTGAGGCACAGGCAGAGAAAGACGACTTAAGTCTGTGTTCCATGATTGCTGAGTAGAAACTATCTTCCTCTCTGCGTCATCAAAATCCCTTCTTCAGTTTGAATGACACTATGAAGTTTCCTCAAAATCATCACTTCCCTGAAGATACCAAGCCCAGCTTCTGTAGTTTGTCTGCATCACTGAAGCCCCTCTTTGCAAACACATTAACATAAGCTCTCAGACTCCCCCAGAGTATTTGAGCACGATTTACTTTGCTAACTTAAATGAACTTCTTTTTGTTCCACAGCTGCTTATTATTGGCGGATCCTTTGGCCTCCGTGAATTTGCACAGGTTCGCTATGATGTTCAAAAAGTGAAGAGGAAGGTAAGCCATAAAGGATTCTGCATTTCAAAGCCTTTAACTGCAGCAATGCGCGCTAACCTGAAGCTTGCCTATTGATCATGTTACTGTCTGAAACTGAGTGCAATTGCAGAGTCCTGCACAATTAAATCAATAACATTGTAATCTAGTAAATGAAAATGATTTTTGATGCCGTGTTATGCACTCTATCAAAAAGGCTGAAGGAGCCAGAAATTTCTACTTCGTCTAATTCTGAGTGGCTTCACACTTTGGTAGTTATCTAATGAATGGACCTGTTACCGAGGATCTGTGCACAGTCTCACCTCTGGGTCAGAAGGTATAGCTTCAAGTCCCATCTCAGAACATAAAGGCTGCAGAAGTGTGTCATAACACGTCCAAATAGATTACACTTTTGTTTTAAAAAAGATGTCATTTCTTTGCACTTTCTTCCTGAAACTGCCAACTCTCTCGGGTTTCATCTACGTTGCTATTTATAAAGTGTGAGCATTGGATTGTCAAAGGCCATTGATCTGCAGAGCGAATTACAGCTGTACTTGATACCCCTGTTCACATGAATTGTATGATTGGTGGCTGAATTTTCTGGTCAAAGACCCATGATTCCTCTTCTGTAGGATCAAAGCTGTCTATGTTAAATTTTTGATGGTTTTCCCTTTTGCTTGCAAGATGAACAAAGTGCCTTTACTAATTTGCGTTTTATTTTGTTTATGGATTAGTATGGGTGAGTGATGATAGTTTGGACAGGTTTGTGCTCTTTTGCAGCTGCCTGATGATGAGCAGAGTAGGTTCTGTCTCTCAAAGCAGTATATCTCATTATTTTCATCCCATTGCATTTACAGCAATGGCATTGAAAGATTTCAGAAGATGGAATGAGGGAAACTATTTAAAATAATCTTTTAGTGGAAACAGTTACAGCTAGGTGCTATCTCAGAAATTCAAGTATGCTAATGACTCCAGAATGGATCTTAAATTTAGTTCTCCTTCATCAGATTTCAAAGTTAGTTTTATATCCTGACTTCACTGCAATTATGGTTTTGAGGAAACATGTAATCTTTGCAGTTTGCTGGTGCATGTCTCTTAGATAGACAGCTATTTTTGTTCACTAATACTGAAATACATTTCAGAGGGTGCTTTTGAAAATTAGGTAATTCACCTGCTTGAACTCTAAGTTGATGTATATCTACGATTGTGGAAGGAGCAGATACCAGCTGAAAGTCATTGTGTCACAGTAATTGTGATTCTTTCAGTTGGTGACCGGTTCGACATTCTTGCACATAACGCCATCAGCATGACCTGACTCACCTGCACTCAGATGCCTAGCCATTGTTGTGACCCCTCCAGACCCTCCTCATTCTTCATTCTGAATATCACCTGAAATCTCCTTGACACTTATTTCAGATTTCCATTTTAAATACTTGCAAGGTAGGGTGGGGGGTGGGTATTGCACCAATATAATATTTCTGTTCCCTACATCCGCCAGCTTGTGGACATTTTTATGACAATGCTAATTTAGTACTAATCTTTGCCAGATGTGTTTAGTTTTATGTTATGGATTATTCCTCTCAGAAATGTGATGGCATTTGCTTTTTAGTAACGCTCATCTTGGCTGACTGGGTGGAAAATTTAACTAAAGGCATAAATTGATCTACTTCATGTTTTTCCAAAATCCCATTAGATTTCAGCACCCATACCATCATTACTAGATTTTCTTCACTTTATTGTAGCATTTCATTCACATCTTTGAGGGTAAACATTTGGACTCTCGTGCTATTGATCTGCTTTAATGAAAGTGTTAGTGTGTTCCAGATGTATTTGAGTATTGCTGTTAGAAATGGTTATATGCCTTGAGACTTTTTGACATAAATGCTATTTGAGTATAATTCCTGTGTAATTCAATTATTATGGATTTGATTTTTTTTAGAACAGTGCAGAGCAGAGGGCCAGTGTGTTATTTGGGCCTTGTGTAACTTTCTTGTCACTCCCATAACTTTTTATGCCATCAGTAAGGCGGTACGGTGGCTCGGTGGTTAGCACCGCTGCCTCTCAGCACCAGGGACCTGGGTTCCATTCCACCCTCGGGCAACTGTCTGTGTGGAGTTTGCACATTCTCCCCATGTCTGCATGGTTTCCTCCAGGTGCTCCGGTTTCCTCCCACAATCCAAGGATGTGTAGGCTAGGTGGATTGGCCATGCTAAATTGCCCGTAGTGTTCAGGGATGTGTAGATTAGGTGGGTTATAGGGGGATGGGTCTGGGTAGGATGCTCTGAGGGTCAGTGTGGACTTGTTGGGCCGAAGGACCTGTTTCCACACTGTAGGGATTCTATGATCTATGATCAGTATGAAACCTATGGTTGTTTCAGTCAGTGAGAAGTTGTGGTCTATTCTTCCTTGTATTCTCTTCTAAATCTCATTTGCTATGCAGTTAATTTTGATATTTTATAGCCTGTTAGTAAACTCTGCACTGCAGCTGCCCTGACATTTGCAACGTTTCATATGAATTTTGAAGATGCCGTCTAATGCTGTGTAATGTTCAAATTGCTGAACCTTGATTAACAGATAAATGCTGTAATTGACTGCCCAATACAGCAGGTAAAAGCTATTGGGGAATTTAATGTATTGAATAGCACTAGAAATAGTGGCTCCTTCGTTTTTAGTTTGTGTTTAAAGTGTTAACATTGAATTATACGTTTTTTTCAAACCTCTTTAATATCCTGCTGTAATCACCATGCAGGTTGGTTAGTTCAGTTGGCTAGATGGCCAGAGTGTAATGTAGAATAATACCAACAATGTAGATTCAAATCCCATGCCAGCTGAGTATGCTCTTGAAGGCTTCCTCTTTGTCTTGCCCTATAATGGTACTGTGGCCATGATTAGCAACCCTAAGACACTACAGGAAGAGAGAAATCACCTTCTGCATTCACATTGTCTTTAAATAAAGTGTGACTTCTGTCTTCTATCACATTGTACATTTTTTAAAAAATGCTTTTCAGAAACTGTGCCATGTTCAGAACTGCTTTGTTTATCCTCACACCTAGATGTGCTGAAGCTGATTTCCCAAACCTAATGTTCAGTGAGCATGTGTACGATTAATCAGGTCAGTCCTACTCGGCTTCGTTATGTATTCTGAACTCTCCAATTGTACAGAAATTTTATGGAGTTAAAAATAAGTGATAGCATTGACTTGCAAGACCTCATTTGCACTCCTCTGTCATTGCAGATTTGAGCATTACAAATCTGCTGCTGCTAAGGAACCAGGCACAAAATGCAAAGTTGTCAGATAATTCAAAATACTTTGAGTCAGCAGCAGCTGGCTCATTGGCAAGATTTAAAACACAGATGTGGTAGAACAGCTGGAACAAAGAAATCTTTTTAAATGGTGTTTTGCTGGTAGGGTGGGGAGTCTCTGCTGCAAGGCTGTTTGGAAGAAGAGGTGGAAGAGTTTGTTTTCCCAAAAAACTCAGTGCTGTGATATTATAGGTTTGCAGCTTTCCCTGTCTCACAGTATTCTGTGCATGATCTAAAATAATTTGGTAGGTGATTTTAAAAAAAAAAAGGAGCCCCAGCAGCAACTGAAAAGATTTCTACCTTGCAGAATTAACTTTAGATGATACTGAATGCCCCAACTTCTAAAAGGTATGTGTTAATAGATGAGATGATTTAATCTTGTCTCATTCATTGTTTCAACAATCTTGCTTTACCAAGCATTTGATTTATCACGGATTAGAACTTCTGCATTCGGGTTCCAAATGATACGAGCTTTCTGATTCCATTTCTTAGTTGCAATGCATAGAAATATCTGGTCACTATTCTGTTTGGATAATGTCTTCTGCTGTAGCTGAATGAAGCATTTTCGATATTTTTTCCAAACCTGCAACCCTATCAGTTCTAGCTATGTTGTGCATTATATATGTATATCATTTTTGGTGTTGCTGTCTGTAAGTCAGATATTGCACTCTCTCATGTTGAATCATTATCCCATGCAATATCCAGGCTTTCTGCTGTCATGGTAAAGATATTTGGGCTACAAATTTAAGGAAGAAAATAATGGAAGAAATCAGTTTAATTGTTCTTCAAGATGTAAATCTCTGGCTCTAATTTCTTCCTTGTGAAAGGTGAGCGAAGTCAGGACTGAATGAAGAGCAGGAGAGTTGAGAACATTCTGTATAGTGAAGGACAATAACCAGAAGTCACGGTTCATTTTGGAACTGAAGCCAAAAGAAAATAAAAGCTGAGGTCCTGCAGTTAAAGTTCAAACCGTTAAAGTTAGTGGTACGTGGATTATTGGCAGCACCATATCCTTGTGAGCCCAGGAGCAGTGCGGTCGGATAGATTAGTGCGGTTGGTGGACTAGTGCTGAAGATAGGGTTGTCAGTTCCCACAATATTGGATAGTTGTGGGGTAGGAGGGATCAGTGTAAGATGTGAGCGTTTGCACCTCCAGAGCTTGGATAACTGTCCTAACAGGGTACAATAGGTGCTTCAAGGGGAGGCTTTATATTAATATGGCGCAGGAAAGCTCCATGTTGAAATATTAGAGTGAAGTTACAAGGCTCATAGAGGACTGGATGCGATGAGCAGCGTTAAAACGTAGCTTATAAATAGAAAGATGTTGGGGGTGACTGTAGAAATGCAAGGCACACTGAGATGAAGTAACTGATATCGCAGTCACGGTGAATAATGTTGGTGAGCTGCAGGTGCAAATTAATGTTATTATAATATAGCAGTAATAATGGTGACCTGTCTCAAACATACTATTTTTGCAATAACTGTAATCATCATTCCTCGACCTAAGATTTCCATGCATCAGCACAATCCCTTCCATCTGCTTTGATTGGTTTCTGTGTATCTGCAATGCCACACAGTTCCAAGTGTCTTCATATACCGCCCTGCTTCCCTCACTCCAAACTCATGTTTCAGCATTGTTTCCATTCAGACCCTCTTAGCTGTCACCAAGAATGTGAGCATCACCCACTCATCCCCTACTGCTCCAGCTGTAATAACAGCAAA